ACAGCACAAAAAATCTAGTAAACTATTTGTGACAATCCCACGTGAAGAAGATTATGGTTTCGAATGGTAGGACGTCCTAATGAACCAACAAAATTAAATTATTTTTGTTATGTTTGTCTGATTTGAGTAGTTTAATTTGTGTTGCGCTGTTCCGTACTGTTGATTATCGACCGCGTTATCGACGATCCCTTTTAGTTATAGTAATTCGGCGATACAAAGCGCTGTTAGTAGGCGCGCGCATCTTATCAATTAGAAAAAGAATAGAGTTGAAGCAGAGCGAGCGTACACGCGTTCGTTTCTCACAATAAATCACAAGTTATACAAAACACAAGTGCCATTCATTCACCTTCAAAACTGCAGTCAACGTTTCATTTCATGGTCCTTCGAGCCGGATCCCAGAGATACGAAGCTGGAATAGAAGAACAAGACGTTTTGCCGGACGCAACAAGCAAGCGCGGCGAAGCTCAAAACAACACGACGTGCAAGCGATCGTAAGTCAATACGATTAGGGTCGGTCGAGACATCAAGGATATTACTCATTCGTATTAAGTATGATGAATCGAGGGTGGCACGATTGTAGCGGAGGAACGCTCGCACGAGGTGAGCCATATTTTGCAACACGCGTGTCCGTTACGAAGTGGACGCCATCTTTGACAAACGAGACGAGTCTCGCACGGAAAATTTCACGAGAAGCAAAAGGGTGACGAGTCCTTTCTACAAGCGAGACGACGAGCTCTCGCACAGTTAACCTATACACGAGGTGACGAGTTCTTTCTACAAGCGAGACGACGAGTTCTCGCGCAGTCAACCATACACAAGGCGGCGAGTCCTTTCTACACACGAGGCGGCGAGTCTTTCTACGCACGAGGCGACGAATCAAGCGTACACGAGACGGCGAGTCTTCATGCGCATAGTGAAGTGGATAAGTTTGAACGTTTCATATTCATTGTAATCAATGGTTTGTTTGTAACAATCAATTTTTCTTCTTTTTTTTGTATAAACTCGATCTCAAGGCAAACACGCGCATATACGAAATCATTCGAAATGGCCGAAAATATTGATTTACAGAAAATAAAGTTGAGAAAGAGAATAGCAAAAGCTGATTTCACGCTGATAGAAAATTGTATAAAAACAATGAACATAAACACGGTTGATATTGAACAAGAAGACTAGAGCCAGGAGAGTAAACTAGCGTGGTGGGGGTAGGTCAAAAAACGTCCGCGGTTATTCATTCAATGCGCAGTGGCATTGCACATTGAATGAAAGTTTGCGCATGCGCGCGTCGGTTATAACCAAGAAGTCTTGTTCTTAACCTTTGCGTTATCAAGAAGTCTTCTTGGCGTTATATAGCCCAAAAAGGTTAGGGCTAGAGACGCTTTATTTTCCCCTCATCCGAGGGACACACTTAAAAAAGAAAAAAATCTTAAACCATCTTAAACAGAATGTAAGTTGTAAAAAGAAATTATACTGTATATTAAATAACTTGTTTATAGGTAAATTCTGTATTGTATACAAATTTTGGAGTATGATTACAGTAATTTTTTTTTATTTACAGAATATTATTAATATTTCCGTCGTCGTTGGAATAACATATATTGAAATATGTATGATTTTTAGTCTTCTTGAGTCCAAAATTCAATTAAACAGAAACAAGGTTTGTTTGACATGCGCAGTCACGAATTGAAAACGACTATCAGAGCGACAGAGAGGACTAATGAAGCGCAAGAGTGGGGGAAGTTATCCGCCGTCACTTTTTGGCCTACCCCCACTACCGATATTTGACCGAGTTTACTCTCCTGGTTCTAGTCTTCTTGATATTGAAGAAATAAAAATTAGATTAGATAAGTTTTTTTTTTTTTTTGAAGAATTAAGGAAATCGTTAGAAGAAAGCTTGATGGAATTAAGCGTTCACAATAAAGAAGTAACCGAAACACAAGTAGAACAAGAGATCGCTAGTTACGAAGAGAAATACGTACATTTGAAGTTGATAGGTGAAAGAATAATTAAAGAACGCGTTAGACCAGTTAGTGCTACAGATTTCGAGCAAGCAAGCTCAGCACATACCGTGATATCCAATAATATCAGATCTAGTAACATTCATGTACGATTACCTAAAATTGAGCTACCTACTTTTAGTGGACCCTATGAAGAATGGTATCCATTTTTTGGAATATTCAATTCACTAATACATTCAAATGATGCCTTAAACGATATTCAAAAATTCCATTACCTAAAGTCTGCGTTAAAAGGCGATGCTGCCGAAACTATACAGTCATTGGAAATCACGGGTACTAATTATAATGACGCTTGGTCGAGACTAAAGGCTAGATATGAAAATGTGCGAGTAAGCATTCAAAATCATATCAAATCCATTTTCGAATTACCAGCCTTAAAAAAGGAAAATAGTGGCGTTAAGAAGTTTGTTAGATGGTACATTAAGGCATACCAGAGCGTTAGCTGCATTGGAACGACCGATAGATTATTGGGATGATTTGTTAATATATATGTATATTAGCTAGTAAGTTAGATTACTTTACGATAAAAGAGTGGGAGAGTAGTCTGGACAGTAAACGAGTACCAAAATTTGACGAGTTAGTAGAGTTCTTGACAAAGCAGTGTGAAACTTTAGAAGCCGTTGCAAGAAGGAGTCTATCTATAGAGTCATCTAGTAGACCTCGCCAAATTTTCGGTAAGACAACAAACGCACATGCAACAGTAACAAGCGTGAAATGTGCTCATTGTAAGGGCGACCATCAAATTTATCAGTGTAAAACATTCAAAGAGCTTTCATTTACAGATCGTTTAAACAAGATGAAGTCTCTAAAATTATGTCTTAATTGTTTGAAGGGCAATCATATTGCTAGAGAGTGTAATGCCAGCCACTGTAAAAAATGTACAAGAAAGCACAGTACGTTGTTACACGATGAGCGCACTTTATCAAAGGTGGAGAATGAGGATATAAGTAAGACAAATCCGAGTTCAAATAATGAGGCACATACGAAGGAAGAGACGGTATGTACGCACGGACAATCAAAAAAGGTATTTACTTCAATTCAGGTATTGTTATCAATGGCGCTAGTATTGGTCAAAGATCGCGATGGGCATTCCATAGAGGGTAAAGCATTGCTTGACAACGGATCTCAAGCTAATTTTATTACTGAGGAGTTCATTAAAAAATTAAACGTAAAACCAAAGGATAATCATATAGAGATTAAAGGTATAAATCAGTACGTATCGCACTCTACAAAATCAGTACAGTTACATGTGAATTCACGTTTTAATACTTTCGGAGTGGATATGCAATTCATAGTTTTGGAAAGGATCACACCTAATTTACCGACAATCGAAGTAAACATAGCAGATTTGAATATACCAGAAAATATTAAACTGGCAGATCCCAAATTTAATATCCCTAGTAAAATAGATGTTCTAATAAGAGCAGAAAAGTTTTGGGAATTAGTTTGCGTAGGTCAAATAAAATTGGGTAGGAACAAACCCATATTACAGAAATCGTTATTAGGCTGGTTAGTGTCAGGAGCCAGTAACGTAAGTGAGGTAAACAAACAATTACAAACAAGTTGCAATCTGAGTACATTAGAAGAATGAAGTCAGACAGTTCAGAAATTCTGGGAGATAGAAAGTTATGCGAATAAAGAGAATAATACTTCAGAGAAAAGGTATTGTGAGAACCTATTTGAAACCAGTTACACACGACAGGATGATGGTAGATTTGTAGTACAACTGCCAGTAAAAAAAGAAATCTTACCGTTGTTAAATGGTTCAAGGGAGGTGGTCTTAAAGAAATTTTTAGTGTTAGAGCGAAAGTTTAGTCACAAAACTGACAAGGAGATGGCACGAATTGCGAAATACCATTTGGAATATAACCTATACCATTCGAAAGGTGGGGTCGAGAGTGTAAAAAGTGTAAAAGGATTTGGGTGCATGGGTCCTCGTTTAAGAGAAATTTGCATGTAAAGTTGCGCAATTGGTTGCTGCGCTGTAAGTACTGTGAATAAGTAGGGATAAAGCAAGAAGTGCGGTGGCCGAGAGGGCTGAGGCGCACGGTACTACTTTTACATCTGACCAAGAGAGTTCGAGACCACGCAGTATTGATTTTTTTTTTCATCAGAAAACGTCATTTTATATATTTATTTACGTTTATTTATTTATAAAATTCGAACATTGCCGTACAGTAAATTAAGATTTATATTAAAACATTGAAAACACAAATGAGCGTACGTCACGAACATTTTATAAAATAATATTTCGTTTTATATTTATTTTTTTATTCATCATTATCGTTATTATGTACGACTCATTTATGTTTTCAAAGTTTTAATATAAATTTTAATTTACAATATTATACGGCAATGTTCGAATTTTATAAATAAATAAACGTAAATAAATATATAAAATGACGTTTTCTGATGAAAAAAAAATTAATACTGCGTGGTCTCGAACTCTCTTGGTCAGATGTAAAAGTAGTACCGTGCGCCTCAGGCCTCTCGGCCACCGCACTTCTTGCTTTATCCCTACTTATTCACAGTACTTACAGCGCAACAACCGATTGCGCAACTTTACATGCAAATTTCTCTTAAACAAGGACCCATGCACCCAAATCCTTTTACACTTTTTACACTCTCGACCCCACCTTTCGAATGGTATAGGTTATATTCCAAATGGTATTTCGCAATTCGTGCCATCTCCTTGTGAGTTAAAAAGAGAGTACATTGCATTTATGAAAAAATATCAGCAGTTAGGACATATGTGTCGGATAGAGATGAATAACAATGATAATTTTCGAGTATTTTTGCCACACCATGCGGTAATAAAAAAAACTAGTATCACGACTAAAACTAGGGTAGTTTTTGACGCTTCTAGTCAATATGACAAGGGGAAATATTTAAATGACGCGTTATACAAGGCCCACAATACAAGCAGATCTATTTTCTTTAATAATTAAATTCCGATGTTACGTGTTATCTGCTGACGTAGCGAAAATGTATAGACAGATATTAGTTGATAAGGAGCAAACCTCACTGCAAAGCATTTTGTGGCGGAAAGATCCGAAGGACAAGTTACATGAATTTGATTTACTTACTGTAACCTATGGTAAAAAGCCTGTGTCATTTTTGGCTGTAAAATATTTGCATCAGTTAGCCGAAATCGAAAGAGTAAATTATCCTAGAGCAGCTGAAGTAGTTTGTAACAATTTCTCTATGGATGATCTATTAACAGAGAGTAATACAAGCGAAGAAATTCTACTTTTAAAAGAATTAATAGAGTTGTTAGGAAAGGGAGGATTTAAGTTGCACAAATGGAAAAGTAACGTAGAGGTAGCAAAGGATAATAAGCATTTTAAAAATGACAGCGTAGACATTACTAAGGAGGAAGGGTCAAAATTGTTAGGAGTATTATGGAAACCGCACAAGGATATATTTCAATACGAAGTAGCTCCAATAGAGATAGATCAGCATGTAACAAAGAGGAAAGTACTATCACAAACTTGTAAATTGTTTGATCCGTTAGGTTTAGTAGGACTAGTAATAACGTTAGCGAAGATTTTAATGCAAAGCATGTGGAATTCAGGAGTCAAATGGGACGAATCTGTGCCTATGCATATTCATAGAGAGTGGGAGCGAATAAGGTCACAATTACATGTACTCAATGAGTTACAGATTCCGAGATTGATTGTATCGGGATAAGATCAGGTTTAATTACAACTACATGGGTTCTGTGACGCGAGTGAAGCAGCGTACGGTGCATGTGTGTACATACGCGAAAGAAATGAGCGAGGCGAAGTTGGGTTACTTTAGTTTGTTCCAAGTCACGCGTAGCTCCTTTAAAAGCATTATCGTTACCCCGTTTAGAGTTGTGTGGAGCCGTGTTACTAGCAAAATTAATGAGTCAAGTATTAACTAACTTGAAATTAAAAATAGCACAAAGAGTCTACTGGACAGACTCTAAGATCGTATTAGCATGGATAAACTCCTTCTCTAGAAAATGGCACGTATTTGTCGCGAACCGAGTTAGCGAAATACATAATGATTCCTCACCTTCCGAGTGGAGACACGTAGGAACTAAAGATAATCCTGCAGATCTAATATCGAGAGGTGTAACGCCAGAACAATTGGTGAATTCTGACATTTGGTGGAGTGGACCTCAATGGTTGAGCCAGAAAGATGATACTTGGCCCGGGAAAGGTGTGGAATTATTTAAAAAACGTACCGGAAGAAAAAAGACAAACTGTAGCGACAGTAGTTATTAGTCACGATACTGTTATTGTGTATGAAAGATTTTCGTCATTGTATAAATTATTACGAGTAGTAGCATACATTTTAAGATTTATTAACAATATAAAGAGTAGTAAAGAGCGCCGTAGGATAGACGCGATAAGTGCGGAAGAAAATAAAACAGCAAAGTTAAGAGTAATTAGGTTAGTGCAATCGGAAGAGTTCTCAGAAGAAATAAAGTCGTTAAGGGCAAGCAAAAGAGTACAAAGAAATTCGCGGCTGATAACACTTTTGCCCTTTCTCGACGATATTGGAATCTTAAGAGTTGGTGGAAGACTGAAACACGCGATCCTACCGGAAGAGGCTAAACATCCCATAATACTGCCATCGCATCATTATTTTACTAAGCTGGTGATTGTACATTATCACGAGACTTCATGTCGGAGTTTAGACAACATTAAGCAATATTAGAGAAGAATTTTGGCCAATATTTGCACGAAGTAGAGTCAAGGAGATACTACACAAATGTATCAAATGCCGAAAAGCCAATCCCAAGGCCAGTTGGCAGCTCATGGGACAGTTGTCGATGGTTCGAGTTAGCGCAGCACGACCCTTTTATAATTCGGGAGTCGATTACTGTGGTCCCTTTTATATTCGGAACCGCATAAGGCGTAACAGTAAGCAATATAAGCCTTACGTGGCAATATTCATATATATGTCTGTAAAGGCAGTACACGTTGAATTGGTAGAAGATTTGACCGCTGATTCTTTCATTGCGGTGTTGAAGAAATTTATAGCTTGAAGAGGAAAGGTTGGAAACCTATATTCCGACAATGGAACTAATTTCGTCGGAGCAGAACGTATATTACGATAAGTATTCGAGTCTAAAGAATTCGAGGATTCCGTCCAAGAGTTTGCGACGTCCGAACAAATAAGCTGGCATTTCATACCAGCTAGATCCCCTCATTTTGGTGGACTCTGAGAGTCCGCAGTACGCTTATTAAAGGTGCATTTAAAGCGAACCATAGGAGAAACTTGCTTGACAGTCGCTGAGTTCACGACAATATTGGTTCAAGTAGAGGCTGTTAAATTCCAGGCCTCTGACTCCCTTACCCGACGATCCAAACGAACTGAATGCTTTAACTCCTGGCCATTTCTTAATTGGAGAGTGTCTACATAGCCATCCGGAAATGGATCTGAAGAAGGTTCCAGTAAATAGGTTGTCAAGATGGCAACACATCCAACAGCTCAAGCAACGGTTTTGGAGCAGATGGCAAACGGAGTATTTAAATACATGTCAACAAAGAACGAAATGGAAAACTAACTCCAGAAACGTATTCAAGGTTGGTCAATTAGTTATGCTGAAGGAAGGTGAAATGGATACACGCCCGAATTTTGGAAATACATCCTGGTACGGATAAAATTGTAAGAGCTGTGACAGTAAAAACTAAACAAGCTATATTTAAAAGAGCCATTGTTAATGTGACACCGATCACAGAGGAGTCATACCTGTAGACTTTTCTCATATTATTTTAACGATTAATTGAAGCTCACATTGTTCCGTTCATTTCTCTTATTTGATGCGTGCATACAAGTTATTTCTAGATATACGTTAGAATAAGTTCATTTGATTGTTATTGAAAATATGCAATATTTGTCAAGGCGGGCGGCGTGTTATGTTTGTCTGATTTGAGTGGTTTAATTTGTGTTGCGCTATTCCGTACTGTTGATTATTGACCGCGTTATCGACGATCCCTTTCAGTTATAGTAATTCGGCGACACAGAGCGCTGTTAGTAGGCGCGCGCCAGAGAGAATCAAGGGAGAGTGGAGCGGATAGTGTTCTCTTTTCTGATTGGTTCCCGCCATTTATAGCTTACTTCCGCAAATGTGCATGTATTAAAGTGAAATACTCATAGAACAGACTGACCGATGTGACGGCTGGTGTCAGCTTTTGTCAACTTTAACGCTTAATATCTCGGCTATAAATGACGACTTCCGGTGCATCCACTCCACTCTCCCTTGATTCTCTCTGGCGCGCACATCTTATCAGTTGAAAAAGAGTAGAGTTGAAGTAGAGCGAGCGTACACGCGTTCGTTCCTCGCAATAAATCACAAGTTATACAAAACACAAGTGCCATTCATTCACCCTCAAAACTGCAGTCAACGTTTTACTTCAATTTTTGTTGCGAGAATCATTTTGTTGTAAGTATTCAATAGTGAATAATATTATTATCTACATTTTTAATGGGCACATAAATAACTTACATTGCGGCTTTTGCATTCCTAACCTCAACAGCGTTGAACTTGTCACTTTATTTTATAAATTCAGTCACCATAAATAGTCAACCTTAGACAAATTTGTTGAATCAGCTTTAATAAAACCTGATTCTAGAATATTTGCCATATTTGACACGATATTTTTTCGATAATTCGACGGAACACTTTGCAAAACTGTCATGTAGCCGGAGGCGCGAGGACAAGAAGCAACATCGTGACGTCACACCAATAGCGTCGTATTTTCATTCCTTTGAATTTTTATGAACATTTGACCTTTATTATTAAACAAATATGAACAAATTTAACGATTTTATTTTTATGAATTATTTTCATAATGCTCACATTTTGATAAATTAACCAAATTTATAAATTAAAAAATTTATTTAAAGACCGAATTGCCGCTGTGGCGTACACAAAAGAATGCTGTGTCTACTTTAAGCCAGTATCCGCTCTGTATACATATAACGTACAGTTGTTTGTTTGTATTTTTTCGAGTAGCAGGAAAGCTTCAGTTTGTCTGTAACAGCATCTAAAATTGATACACTAATGCCCAATTTCTTCACTTTTAGATAAGTTACGGATAACTTTATCCAGAAGATATTCCATTGTATTCTGGGAGATATCTTCTAGATAAAGGTTATCTAGAGGTGAAGAAATTGAGCATTAAAGAATTGTCTTTGGTCATTACCCGAACCAAACGTCCTTCACCAATGACGCTTGTGAAAAGCACAATGGAAACAACCAATCCACAAATGTCATTGATGGAGGAACATCAGGTTCATAAAAATAACGTATCTGTTACATAAATGTTTCAAAACCAACCATGTATTGTGTTAGTTAGGAATATTACTAATACTATAGGTGTACAAAAAAGTTCTGAGCTTTTTTTTGTAAAATCTATGTAATAATCGTATGTAATCGTACGGAAACGGCTTGTTGCGTAACGTCAAGGCTGTTCTGCAAGCTCCTTTTCAGTTTGCGCAGAGTTTATATCCAGCAGTGCTTGCGAGTCGTCCGTTTCAATCTTTTCAGGGCGTCCAGCACGCGATTCATCTTTAAGACTGAAATCTCCTTAGCGAAACTTTTGATACCATCTTTTACATGTAGCATGACTTACAGCATTCTCTCCATATGCAGCACAAATCATTGCAGTGGCTTCAGCAGCATTTTTCTTCAGATGAAACGCGAAGTGGATGAAAAATCGAATATGCTCTTTTGTTATTGCCATCGTGAACACTACTGATTTTTGAGGTTATGTGCATCAAACGCCAAACCATATGGCATTTTAGAAGGCCAAATGTTAACGCTTTAAAACCGCAAAAGGGCGGGAAGATATATAAAATTTAAATTGTTATTTCGGTTGTATGAAATCTAAAGCTCAAAACTTTTTTGTACACCTAATATATTGACGTAGTAAAAAATCACAATAAAAATATTTTAAAATCACTGTAAAACGTCATACAATTACCTCAAGTATTCTGAATATAATTTTGTAACTTTTTTGTTGGACAAAAACTTTCACTTGTTTTTGTTGTAAGTTTATAACAGAACTAATAAGAAGAAGGAAACCGCAATAACGGTCAAAGCTAATAACGGGCGAAGCTGGATCACAAATGCTTATTAAAATTATGTGTGAATTTTATATACCGCGTATATATTTCCCTATCGCGTGCCGAAATTTTTTTCAGACTTACAACACAACTCTAAACAACTACCGCGGTAATATCACTTTAGTTAAATTGACAATCAATCTAACAATTTTTGATGCTTATAGCATCTTATTGGATCTTAATAATATGTTGAAAGACATATATTAAAATTTAACGATGTAATATTTAAAGTAATGATAAATCAAACTCTATGAAAAATAAGATTGCGAAGAATATCACAAGTTGGCGTTTCGTCCCGGTTTCCACTACTGGACTCATCAGTAAGGCATTGTAATGGAAACCTACCTTAAACGCCTGTTTAAATTATTAAATCGAGATTCTATATATACAGATATAAGCGTATCTCAGTACTTGCGAGAAATTTTGCGAATATCGATAGACCTCTGATGGCGGATCGACGTAGTAATATTCTTCGCAATATTTATCTAAAGTAGTAATAACGTCTTTTTTCAGGCTGACGTAATTTTAACAAATACTAAAATCTTTTTAAGACCGTACAATTGATAAACATTAAACTAACAAGA